GTCTAAGCAGGGTAAACTTTTCAAAGAACATGTCTCACCACAGGGGTAAAGGGGGAACAGGCTCAGGGTTAAGGATTAGAAATGGATGAGAGCTGTGAACCTCAGTCCTAGCCCCCAAAAGTTAGCTAGAGCATGAGGGTTAAAACAAGAACATTTGATTCACTCCATAATAAAAAAGGGTAGCTATTTCCTCATGTCTTATTTGCAAACTGCAGTGCAAGATGAACTACATTTTGCAAACCTAGAAAATTAATAGCAATTATGTGGTGCACTTTGGGTCCAGATATATCTTAAAACAGGACCTGTTTTCTCCCATAGCTACATGGAGCACCTATGTCTCTATCATTTAAATCCCTTATCTGAAAAGACCAGGAAATATTTGAATTCAGTGAGAGAAAAATTACTTCAAAGAAAACTTACTAGCTGCTTAAGAATGAACCACAAGGAACAGGAACATGGGAATGACCAGAGCTGGAGAAAGGAGATGATGATTATTAAACAGGGAAAGTTTCCAGATAAGTAAAACTTGAAAAGGAAAAAGAAAACCCCCCAAAAAACAGCCATGAGATAGAGCTGAATCAGTCTGAAAAATATCATGTAACTACTTCTTTCCCTCCTGCTTCACGAGAGTCAGGAAGAAGTTTAGGTCAGAAAAAACAGGTGCTCACAAACTGCTTTACTCACCTTTATTTGTATTGTGAGATAATTTGCTTTAAACATCGAGGGTCAGACAGTGGAGGCAGAAGAGAGATGTGAAAAGACTAGGCTGGTTATTTTCAGGGATTATTTTGAAGTGGCTTGCCTTTACCTTCTCCAGCCTCTGTGCCAGCTACATACCCTGCTAAAGGTGAGCGTTGCCTCGGAAAAAATAGAGAGGGAAGGTTTTCAGTCCTGCATTCACTCACAGTCAGTAACAGCCCTGAGTAGCCAGAGCAGCTCACCGCTCATCACTTAGCTCTCTTGCAGAGTTTATCTCAACTAGTGAGCATGCAAGAACTGCAGATGACCTTGCCTACGCCGGAATTTCACCTCGCGTGCAAGCTAACATAGTCAGAAACACCCTCACCTTTTTTTCCTGTTGAGGATAAACCCTCAGCACTCATCCTCAACTCCTCATGCAGCAGGATCTTCTAAAGATAGATGCCTGAGATTACAGGGAGAGTTCTTGCAGGAGGTTCCCAGCATACCACACGTTGCAGAGGCTTTCCCCAGTTGCCAAAGAGGGCAGGGCTGCCAAGGAGTGGGAGAAGGAGGCTTCATTTATGAGCTAGTTTTAAGTCAGACTTGGTCCCGACGAACATTTGCTTGGCACAAGTCCCTGTCGTAAGGAATGCGAAAAACTAAGATGCCAGGGCAGTGAGCAGAATGGGGAATAAATCATCTGAGTCAGAGGATACCAAATGCCACCGACAGCCTGGTTGCTGGTTTTCGCAATGAGGTGGGTAGCCAGATGCAAGCATGGCACATAGTGGGCATTGTATGTCGCATATGAACCAGCAAGAGAAGGAGAAATAGGGCCTGTGCAAAGAGATCTCGTGCAGCAGAAGAAGAAATGAGGGGAAAGGACGAAGGGGTAGAAAAGCCTGTTGGAAAAATGGGGGCAAAGCACAAAATACACAAAGGCAGCCCCACATTGCCCCACTGCCTGAAGGAACAGAGACCTTCAGTACTGCCAGCCACAAACATTCAACAGTGTGAAAAACATCAGGTTATGTTTGTGTGCATATGGGAGGGGAGCAGCTGAGGATTTGGGATTCTTGTTGGCTTGGAGGCCACGCTGCTCTGTTAAGTATGAACAGAAGATGTTTCTCAGTGAGACTCTGATTTCTCAGAGCTGGGAATATTACAATAAATTAATAATCTAAAAATAGAGTTGGTAGCTCCGTGGGAGAATTGAAACATGCTTTTTTTTTGCCAGGAGAGAACTGTGAATATTCACACCTGCAGAGAAGAAATACACAGAGCAAATCTGCAAACAAACCACACAGCTTCTACCTGGAGAATTTTTTTCTTCATCCTGCCTTAGTCCAGCAGTTTTCATGCACATATGCATATTGCCTGCTCTGAAGACCACATACATCCATACCTTCAGACAGCAATCCAAACAGCTGAGAATGACCAGGATTTCTTTACGAGCCTCAGCCTACATGTAAACCAGTTCACCACCATTCCTATCATGGACTCCATCCCTTCCTCACCCTCCCCTGGCATCCCAGGTAGGGAACTTGCAGAGATTGGAATCAACCTTCAGAAGCTGAAAAACCAGAAAAAGCTGTGCAGGATTTTTCACAAGCCTGCTCAACATCATTCTGCCATCAGTCCAGCCTTCTTTTTCCTCCTCAGTTCAATTGGATAAAGCTGTGTTTTTCTGGTTGCATTGTGGCATGCTAGGCACTCCTACACAGATCCACCATTTTCCAGGTCACTTGTTCATCACAGCTTTTATTTTTTTAAAACATAAGTCATAAAGTGCAATGTGAGGGAAAGGCTTAAGAAGCAGCAAGCAAATCTGAAGAACCCAAACTTAATCAGCTAAGCTGCTGTTTATGCAATAGGTCAATGGTATCACTTGCAACTGGTTGGAGCAGTTGAATACTTCAATAGTGTATTCAGTTTCGGTTCCTTTTCTCCTGCAAAATCCTGCAGGATTTCCTCTCTATGGAGCACAGTGCTACAGTCACACCACATTTAGATGTAGCAAGAAAGAAGAGACCTCTGGGTCTGAAGCAAAAGACCAGAGGAGGAAAATAATACTTGAAATTACCAACTTCTGTGGTCCTAAAGTTTTCTCCAGGCCATATCTCCAGCCACATCCATATGCAGAAGACCTTGCTAGTCCCTAGAAAGTCCCATCGCCAATTGTTTCACCCATTTGCAGAGCTACTTGAGTTTTAGAAATAACCCGAGCAAAACACCTTTACGCAGGAGCGCAGCTATCCACAAAGGCTGCCGTGACTGAGGAGTTTTTGGAGGGGTTTGGCCGAGCAGGGACAGAGGCTGTGTGCCTGCACAGTCCTTACTCCCCCATTTCTCTCCTCTCTGCTGTTGCAGTTGGCAGGGATTTGCAGTTCGTGGTAAATAGCAGAGAACCCAGTCTTTGCTATTGCTGCCTAACTTAGGCAGACACTGATTCTCTTTAAATTTCTTCAGATTTAGGTATTACTGTAGCTTTCAGCAACATACACCCTCCACCCCCCGCCATTAAACTCCCCCCCCATTTCAAAAACAAACCCACATCACTGACATAGACGGTCTGCATGGTCTATCCATGCCTTGAGTCTCACAAAAAAAGTGCCAAAGACTAATTTCCTTATGGAAAACGACTTTTCCTTATGGAAAACGACTTTTCCTTATGGAAAAGTCCAGGGTCTCCAAGACAGTCACCACCCCACTGAACCAGCGGAGTGGCTGATCCGTGGGGTTTTTCCTTTCTGAAAGCACACTCATACAGAAAACCCCTGCTGTGTTGCAGGGACCCATTTCTTCCTCAAGCTATTTGCCCTCATAGCTGCTTCTTTCTCTCCCCCAGCACCCCAGCAAGAGACTATTCAGCTACAGAGTTTTGGTAGCACCGTACATCATAGTGCTTTGCACTCTGATCTTCAGGATGGAGTTACAGGACTTTAAAGCCTGCCTTCGCACTGCCCCAGATGTCCCAGAGACAGACCTTTATCATTTCCCCTTCGCAAACACACAATCTTGAACAAGAAAAACATGTCACTTCCACTTCTTTTTAATTAGTGTTTTGGTGAATATACAAAAATGAAGAATCAAGGCAGCTGGCAAGTGTCAGGACCTGAAGCAGTACACCTTAGGAAGAGGCTTCACCTTAAAATGCTCTATACAGGAGCGTATTTCACACGACATATGTAACTACTGAAGTCTTCACTAGGAAAGATACCAGATCAGTCTGGGCCAAAGTAAACAGTCTCTATTGAACTGATTGAGTAATGTAACTGTTGATGCAAGGACTGGATTTGGTTCAGTTAGCTCCTTGCTTGCATTTTTCACAGGAGTTACTCGTTGCCATTATTTGCCTTTTGTCCTACCTGATCCAGGGATGTCGAAGGGGAAGTGCACAAGGGACGTGACCATAGACATGCAGGGAGCTGAAGCAAGAAGCAAGGAAATTAGGGGCGCGGGACAGCCACTTTTGCAAAGCCAACTACAGCGTAGGACCCCTCGTATTCTGCACAAATTCTGGCCCGTCGATGTGTGAAATCTTGTGTGAAGTACATAACAGCTTTTTGAAGGAGTCGCTTGTTAGCAAGTGGAGCTTTTCCTGGACTGGCACTTCTGAAGGCAGGAGCACATGCAGTAGTTTCATCAGTGACAGGAGGTAGGCTTGAATATAGGCAGCATATTGCTGAGGAGTGAGCTAGCCTTTTATTGGGCTTGACTAGCAACAGACTTTTTATCTGCAACATGTCTTTACTGCTGACACACTTAAACCTTAAAGAATCTGCCTTATTCTAAGGCAAGGGGTAAGGGAGACCAGGAACAGAACTTGAACAATAAAATATATTAGAGAGGTCTGCAGTCTTCTCCCTTGTAGCATCCGTCTTTATTGGTCACAGGAGGTTACAGTTTTGCTCACATAGCCCTTGCTGGAGCCTTTGGCATTATGATTTACATTCAACCTAGTTTTAGAAAGAGATTTTTCTGGAGCAAGCGTATATGGACATTCTCCTTTCTGATGTCATCACAGAACAAATCAGAGCACTTCTTATCTTATGCTCCAAGGATTTCTTGCACAGCAAAAGAAAGATTGTGCCTCAGCCAGGAGGCATTAAGGCTGCAGAACAAGGGGCAAAGAAGGGACAAGAAAATTCTTTCCTGGAGTCATCAGCTCTGTGTGTCAAGTTTTTGGAGGGGCAAAAGTATATATGGGAGAGGTAGTGGGAAAACTTCAAATTCTCCATGGCACAAGGAGAATGGAGCGAGATGAACGAATGCAGTTTCACACAGTGCTTCAGGACAGCGCTGGGGACGCTGGGCCTTCAGTATTCAATTCTGCTCCAGTAGAACATGGTACCAAGGAGGACGAAGAACTGAAACGACAAGACTACTGAGTTTCTCCGCTCCCCATTTCCTTCTCCCCATCTCTCCCCCAGCCCCAATTAGTCCTACTGGTAGGAGGGAGTAACAGAAATTCTCGATGAGCAAAGTCCGTTCAGGCAGAGGAAGCTTAAAGCTTTTTATCTGCACAGAAGCTTCACAGTGAAGAAAGAAGATATGTGCAGCCATAACTATTTGAATGGATCACTCAGCTTGCTGGGGATTATCTGTCATGAAGCTGCTGAACCCTGAGTACTTAGAGCACTCATACAAAGTCTTTGAACTAGAAACTGAATTATCTGTCATGATTACTGTTTCGGTGATCCAATACCCTTCACGAACAAGTATCTGTAAGCTGTGTTTGCTGTGTTGTATTGCTGAGATGGCAGCAGGCCACAGCAGGCTGGAAAGCCATCTAGCTCCTTACCTGTGGAAGCCAGAATGGAGGGAAACTTGTAAATGTAGCCCTGTTAGTGGAACAGGCTACAGGCAGATTGGTGACAAATGAATAACTATAATCTACAGACGTTTCAAATGCGTCAGTCCTGTCATCGACCTCCACCCAACTGGGTGTGGAATAGCAAGAAAAGAGAAGAGGAAATAGAGGCAATTAAGTACTCACAGTCCAGCAGAGGATGGCAAAACCAAACCAGGCAACACCCCAGGCTTGTGTGTTCATTGGCCCAGAAATAGCGTCATAACAACCCTGTAAGACAACCGTGAATGAATCAACACCAGCTTTGAGCTTGTACCACAAGGCAACAAGCTTATCTACCTCTGAGAGAGACCGAGGCAGCATGCTCCTCTCCTATTGCAATTTGGGTACCTCACAGGGTCTCAAGAAGACGAGCCAGAGCTACACTGCTTATTGACAGCTTGCAGATAGCCTACCTGTTTCTAGCTCCAAATACAAAGCAGAGGCATCTCAGATGCTTCCAGGACAAATTCCTGTGCCATCCACTTGCCAAGTGCACATATATAACCAAACACAGGCCAACACAGAGTTGACCTCCAGAATCAGGAAGCTGCAGGCAAATTTGGAAGCTTGAATGCCTTCTAGAAATGCTTGCTAGTGCAGAAGTTGATGCTCATGACCCAGCAATCTGTTTGACTAGCACAAGCTCGTCTATTGAAAAATTCTACCTTGAGGAGGAGAATTGCTGACTTGCTCACTCATATCGTATGCACTCATCTTTGGGCTAAGTTTGATTTAGCTACTGTCCATCTACATGTTGGAGATGTCACTTCTTACTGGTAGCATTGGGAGAGTTTTCTTAATAGTTCTCTCTCCATCAGGAAAGTCTTTATTACAACCCACCCTGTGTTCAGCAACATGGCCAGGACCCTAGAGGCTTTGCTTCTCCTCCAGAAAGCTTTTGAGCACCTGTAGCTTACAGTGGAGGAGGAAAGCTATTCATTGTTTCCTTCCCTTCCAGCAAGGTGCTTTTGACCAACATACATTAACTGGAAAAAGTGGAGAGGGTCTTACGTTGCTGTTATAGTAGCCGGGGACCCCAAGCTTGCAGCCATCGAGGTTGACGGGAGACCCTTGGGCATCCATGACACAGCAGTTGTGCGGCCAAGGGAAGTCGGCGTCTTTGTGGCTGGAGCGGAAGGTGGACGTGTACTCCTGCCAGTCGGAGGGGCCCCGCACCCCGCAGCAGTGCTTCTGCGGAGCAAGAGAATGGAACGGTCTTTATGGGCCCAGGTCACAGCCCTGCACACAGCTGGACACTGCACATGGCTGGTTAGGCATTAACCACAGATTTATGGGAGAGATTTTTGAAGTGCCTGCCTTTGACAGCCTGCCATCTGATAAACGAGCAAAATGGGGAGTGTGGTAGGACTTTCTCTAAGGTTCAAGGCAGATGCCGTCCTCTTTATTACCGAGTGGCCGCAAGAAGGACTTGAAATTCCAGGGCTGCAGAGCATTTAGTAATTAGTGAGAGTTTTCAGTGTTATTATTACCTGAAGCATGAGTTCATCCCATGTCTTTGTGACCCCTTCAGCCATCCATTTGTCATTGTTATTGTCTACGTCTGACTTGTTATATCTCTCCAGCATTTGCTTTAGGAAGAGATTTGGAGTGAGCTACAGGGAAAAAAAACAGAGAAGAATGCAGGAACTGTGTAAATAAGTGGCCATGTAAAGCAAATATAGGGTTATTTGGGGTGGGTTTGTTTGCTGGTTTCAGTGTCCTGCTAGAGAACAGGAATGCTGCTTCTCCCCCAGTTTTACATACAGAAGAATAAAGAGCAGGATTTGAGGAGCAGGAGCAACAAAGATGCAGATCTTGAGCACGACTCTTAAGCAGGCTCTACCAGATGTCAGATCACAGGAGATGTGCAGAAGCTATGTGTTACATTTAATACATTGCTTGGAACTAAAGCATCAGAAGTCATTTCCCTCCCTACCAGTATCTTTAATAACCCACGTAATCTTTCCCTCACTAGTAACACTGCCTGGGCAATGCTGAAGATTTGTCTTCTACATGTGTGGTAGATTAATCAGGCTGTAGCCAAACGACTAAACATTGTATTGATGATTCAGCTAACCCACGCTGTTATTTCCTTAACTACAAGATTGTAAACATTTTCAAATTTTAAAATAACAAAACTATGTTAAAAAGAACAAAGCTATTTCCTGATCAGAATAATGACGTTGGAGACTTTCCTTGTGGGGTCTTACTCTAACTCAGCAGTAGTCCTTTGAGCTTATACTGTACCACCACACAGGACATTTACTGCACTGAACAGGACTGCTGTGTGCTCTAGAACTGCAACATTTCCCAGAACGGCCGCAAGAATATATGAGGAAAGAAATACTCACAAAGTCTCGTTGAGTCGCTGCTGTGATACAAGAAGCCATTTCAAATGCATAAGTGATCAGCATCAGAATAATATACTGTGGGAGACAGACAGCAGAGTTAGCTCTTGGAGAAACAGTTAAGCAGTTCTTTCAAGATTAAGCCTGAAGCCCTGCTCAAGGCAAAAGAAGCCAGGCTATCCTAGTCTCCTCAGTCTTCTCCATGCCCCTGAACATTCACGTAGCCCTTCCCTGCACTTGTTTTCATTTGCAGTCTGCTTTCTTGAAGGCGTATGCCTGGAATTGTTCTCCATCTCACAGACAAGATTTCATCAGAACCTTATGGCATTAATACCACCCTGCCTCTCTGGAAAATACTTTGCCTGATATGGCTTAGAATAACATTTGCCCTTTTCTTTGTTGCATCTCATTGGCAACTCATGCTTGTTCCATGTCTCCTCCTTCCAATTCCGTTCGCCAGCTATAAGCTTTTCAGCAAGAAGCTGTTCACTCCTAGCAGGAGAGCTTGTACTTTGGGGAAACAGAAGATGCAATTAAGAGTGTCATTCAGATCCTCCTGATTTTGCATCATCAGATTTCCTCAACTCTCCTACTTTGTGAGCAAAGATCCTTCATGAAAACAGATCCTGAGGATCACCTTTCATAGTCTATTTCACTGTTTCTCTTCCCTTCTCAGCACAACCCCTTTAACCTTTCCCATATTCCCTTTGCAGTTCTTGTGCCTCTATTTGTCCTCCCACATTTTATAATGTTCTTCTCAGATTCAGGGCATTTGTTTTCTTCTTATCCCAGCTTCTGCCCCTCGTACCCTCTCTTCTCTCCTATACCACAGCCTTGGCTTTTAGCCAAGACACTAAAATCCAGAGTTAAGGGAATTCTTTTCCATCAGCTCTTTGCTGGTGAATTCCCTGGCACAAGAGTTCAGATCTCTAAGTGTCTCTTGTTTAAACCAAGACACCCTGCCATCCCATATGAATCCAAGAGAGAGATGATTCCAGAGTTTCGGCTCTACCCTTCGTTAATGCAAACACCAATTAAGTTTTGCCACTGCCAGCCTAAAGGACTAAGTAAGAAATTGTACAGAGATTTGTTCATGTCTTAATATTGTCCTTCACTTATCCAAAGCTCTCTGTTCCCACCCCTGTAATTTCTGCCTGCTTGCTGATGTCTAATGTTCTCAGTTGCACCCATATTTGGTATACTAACACATACTAATGCCTTGTACAGAAGTCATTACTTATCAGCCTCTAAACTGAATGGTATATGACAGCTGAAAGGCAGTAAGGGGTGGGGAGAAATGAGGATCTAAACCACATCCCAGCTACATCTGATTGCACAAATGCTTCTGCATTGCTTCAAGGTCAGGGTCAAGGTAGTCAGCTTAAATGTCCATTGTGGCTATTACCATTACTTCCCTCAACCTGGTTCGGGAGCTTCTCATGCATGTGTCCTCAGAGGAGTTACCTTGTGGGACACCACAGACATGATCAAGAAGTACCTTTGGCTCCTTATCACTAATAAAAGCTGTCTTTGCTCAGTGAGTGATTACCAAGGCGAGCAGGGAAACCAAGGCGGTGTTTTTTCAGTTTGGCAGCAATAGGTAGGCAAACTTTGCTACACTTACCACCAGCAGCAAGGTCCTGTTGGACTTAATGACTCCAACGATACCAAGGATAGACAGAGCAAAGAGTGCAAAGCCAACAAAGATGCCAATCCAGGCAGCAGCATAGATGTCATCGTTTTCTGTGGCTTCCAGCAGAGGGTAGAGACCATGGGGATCGGACACAAAGAAGATGCACTCTGCTGTCAGGGCAATGCCGCACATCTGAGAAGGGCAAGTTCGGGAAATCCATTAGATCGAGCTTTCCCAAAGAAATAGCAGAGACAGAAAAAGACAGAGACTGCTTTCTTTTCATTCAACTTTCTGCCAAACAGGGGCTACTTAACTCCTCCTCTACCCAACTCTACAATCTCTTGTATTGTGCCTTCACAGAAGAATTTCAGGCAAAACTCACCCAGCCTAGACCTGAGAGGTCAGGCCTAGGCCTTGAGAATGTTAAGAAAGAATTAACAGAACCTTTCCCATGGAGGGAGGTGGCTGGAAAGATGTTGATCAGCACCAAGCGCTCTTCCCCTAGAACTCATTCCCATAGGATCTTGTGGATCAGACCCTGATGTCCCCTCCCCACCCAACTGATCAGCTAGCACAGCTCTCCTTTACCCCTCCTCCCATGCTTTACTAGTTTATTTATGTGTGGACTTCACAAGTGAAGAGGGATTTCATGGCTGGGAACTGCTGTTTCAAGAAGCATCATACTAGAAGGAAGCCTCCACCCATACCTGTCCCACTTCACTTACCCCAATGACCACATTCCCAAAGACTAATAGACCCTGCAAGATGCGTATGCCATCACCGCTTTTTGCCATCTTTAATTCTTCATGCAACCTGGGAAAAACCAAAGACAGTCTTCAGTTAGACCAGTAGAGTAGGCTTCACTAAGAAATAGAAACTATCCCCAAGGAGAAGGATAGATGGAACCTGCCAGCCTGACTGTACACCTCCCACCCCTTGCTTCATAGTAGTTGCAGAGGAAAAATTCCCCAGGTGTGAAGCTGGTAACTTAAACTCCCCCTGATACTTGAGCTACAGAAGATTGGGACCACTCTGGGGCAGTCAGTGTCTTTGGCTCCCTTTCGGGTAGGGTTTTCACCATCGCAACAGCACCCATGCAAACCTCAGCTCATGGTGTTGTATTTCCAGCTGGCTAGAAACACCAGCTACATCTGGATGGACAGGGGAGAAGTTCGGTGCCTTCCCCTCGCTCCTCTTCCAAAGGAGCCAGCTCTACCCAAGGGTATGCTATCCATCCCACTGGCTGTTTTATTTTGGCCAGCTCTGCCACGGGACTGAACTGGCAACCACGGCGCTTTAGCTGTATCCCACACACATGCCTCCGGAACGTGGCTTGGCAGCACCTTGCTAAGGTTAGCCCCGTCTCACACCCATGCCAAGAACTGGATCTGGGACCCCAGTTCCCGGTCAGGTGCGAGGGAGGGAGAAAGCAGCTCAGGCTGCAGCTGGCTCATGGGAGCCGGGCCAAATAGCATTCCCACCAAATTCCTGCGAGCACAATATCCTGCAGGCTGGGGCCCGGCACCCTGCGTCAAATTCACCCCCTTCCAGAGGGACCGGCATAAAGGCACTAGTCAGAGGTATGAGACCTCTTGGAGAAACAAGCCCAGATGCCAGCGCCAACCAAGACCTTCTTTCAAAGGGACAGAGCGCATGTGTGCATGGAGAGGGGGAGGGAAAAAAAAACCCAACCCTAAGACAGCTGCATTTGCCAGGTGGTTAAGAAAATATAAGCCGTGAAAGAAAGGCTGAAGTGAGTCCAACTTGAGCAGACAACAGGAAAAGCAGCTTGAACACGCCTCTTCTGCCAGAGTACCTGCGCTAGTGCCTTCTCTTGCTGGGGTTGCTGACTCCGGGATTCTTCAAAGAAGCTGTTGGAAAATAAGAGCAGATACAGCTGTCAAGGAAGGGGAGTTTCCTGAGGAACAGAGCATTGTGGGACCTCTCTAACAATGCCACCTTCAGCCTCCCCAGCAGCTGCCCTTTTAGGGTAGGCAGGACTCCCAACAATGACAGAGGAAACCCAGAATTTCCTACCACCCTTTCTGCAGTGGTTTGAGGGTTAGGCTTGGAGGGATCTCCAGTGCTTTCACCATTATACCAGCAGCAGAGCACGTATTTTCTCATGATAGCGTGAGTGGGGGTGGCCATTATATCCAAGGTGAGAAGCCATTTTTATTCCCATATTTTTATTTATACCTGAAGCTGTATGGCTCTGTATTGGAAAATGGCAAGCTCATGAGGTCAACCTGAAGCTCTGTCCCTGCCAAACTTGTTGAGCAGCCAGGACGCACAGGGGGGCCACATAAAACTCTCTTGCAGGTCAAATCTGGGTCTGGGCAATGTTTGGCCACATGTGGTCTACAATACAACACTGCAGAGTCTGCCAAATCTGAGATGGACACTGGTCCTCTACTGAAAGCTGGAGAGCCCACTGCCTGGCTCATGGATCTTTGTGCTGCAAACTCCGGAGATTTTCGAAAAGCCTTTAGTTATTGCCATCTAAGAGACATCACAAGTCAGGGGGCAGTCCAAAAACCAAGGAAATCTTCCCTGCTCAAATGTAGGCACATGAACTCTGACTACTACATGGAAAAGCAGGTCTGCTCCAGCTACCATGTAGATAAGAGTGTTGAGTGTGCCATGTGGCTAGCATGACAGATCATACCAAGTGTGATTAACAAAGTCACAACCCTTTTCTTTACATTGCAGGAATCTCTTTCTCCCTCCCTTTCTTTCCTACAGACCCCCCTGCCGTGTAATGACAGCACTCACACCTCGTACGTGGGCTGTCCACCCAGCCCATGTGCTTGCCTCCCCACAAGCTGGCTTTCTTCTCCTCCCTGGCAGGCAGGACCTGGCTCACTCTTGCCTCTCCTTGGGCAGGTCTTACTGCAGTCACAGCAGTCCAAGAAAGCAAGCCTCTTCTCCTGCGGCAAGCCCATCTCCTAGGCTACTGTAGCTGGGAGGAAAGCTGGACACGGTCGCCACCACACAGATATCAACTGGAGAGTGGCAAGCTTCTAGGCAACCTAAGGCTCTCCAGTACCCTACCTAAGTCCAATGGGATTGCAGGGTGGAGGGAAGCAGAGAGACCGGGAAGAGGAAAAGCGAAGGAAGAGCCTTTACTGTAGACCTAAAAATAAACACTGTAATGATGTTGCCATATGAATTCTCCCTCTGCCTCCAAGGAGTCTGTTTCTCGGTGTCCGCTTTGTTCCCGTGCCATATGTGGCAACCCCTTGTCTGGCCCCTTCTCCGTTGTAAAGGGTCTAGTACCGGCATCACAGCTGAGCCACTGGGGAGGTGCTCCAAGGCCATGACGACAGCTAGGCACCTGGAGACCTGACCCTCCAACATACCCCAGAGGAGAAGCTGGGGGAGATCTGGGGCTTTCCACCCGCTGCCTGCTCCTCACGCCCCAGAAGTAAGCTGCGTTAAGCAAGAACAGCTTGCACAGCACTTGGCGCAGGTGCATGACTACGGAGGCATGAAGAAAACCTTGGCCGGCTTGCCCGAGGCAAGCTGCATGCAGGTCTGACTCACAACCCTCCTCGGGTTCTTCCTCCCGGCCCCCAGAGAGACAGACGCCAGCAGCTCCTGCCTGCGGACACAAATAAGTTCGGAGGTAGAGGAGCCTTCTTTGCGGGCTGGTTAAGATTAGTTTTATGACCCAAATACAGTTTCCTGGGGCTTCAGGGAAACCCCCTGAGGAAACCGGAGCTTCAGCTGCAACCGTTATCCAAAATCTCCACACAAGAAGGTGGCCCGGTCCTGGGATTTCAGCCTTGAGCTTGGATGGACCTGGTGTTCCTCAGCACATCCTGGGCACCTTGCCATTTAGCCGTGACCCATCTAGGTCCCAGGTACTCAATTATCACTACCACAGACTTTGCTCTGTGCTCCAAGCAGCTTTGGAAAGGTGTCTGTTGCTCCTGTTGTACCACAAAAACCTACATCCCTCCTGAAGCACATCCTTCTTCCTCTTCCTTATGCCCTGGTCACAACCCAGACTGCAACTTCTCCCCCCTCACACCCCCAAAACACTCCTGACACTCATGGGGGTCCAGCTGAGCCTCTCAGAGCCCAGGAGCAGTGGTAAGGCTGCCTCCCCTTATTCCTCCACAAGTTGCAGACGGATCTGTTATTTCCATGCCCTTGGAGCTTTCTTGACCTATCCTCCCTTCTTCTACTCACAGAGACTCTACGAGACCTGCAGCACAACCGTGGGAGCTGAAAAGGAAGCTGCTTTCTGCAGAGGCTGGCTTCTGCCCTTGTATTTTAGGTGACAACCCCATGGATGCTTTCCAAGGAAGCCCTGCTGGCAGCAGTTCCTGGAGTCAAGCAGGATTCAGTCTCGGTTGTGCATCCCTCACACACATTGGGCTGGTTGGTCTTTTGAAATCTCCACACCCCCTCTTTTTATAGATTGGGACAGGATTTAAGTAGCCTTACAGATGAATGCCCCCTGCTTAGTCTAGTCCTACTCCATCTCTAGCCAAAAAAGCCAATGAATAAGAATTGGTTTGGCATCGCCCCATGCAGAAGTGGGTTGCGTTTTGATTGCCTCGCATTTTGTGCCAGATGTCATGGTGGAGTCATGGCACTGTGACCAAGGGATATCCAAAAACACCCCTGTGAGCATTATTTGTTTCTACACCCTGCTCTTGGAGGTCTCTCACCATGACAGCGGGGCTTCACCTCACCCCTTACTACCCCCCTTTGCTTCAGCATCCCTGTGCAGGACATCGCATTCTCACGGCGTAAGAAGGCAGAGACAAGGGACGCGTTTGTTTTATTACTCATGGCCTCCACACACCTTGGCCGAAGGGCTCCGCGCCGCTCGAGCGCAACTAAACAAACCCAACCCTTCAACGGCAGAAACCTGGTTTTTACTCGTACCCCCCCTCCGGTGCAGAAGCCTGGGCACCACACCTCCTGCCCCTCATGCTCCCCTGGTCCTGGTTGGAGATCATGTCTCTACAGGCAGGAGCAAGGTGCCTGGGGCTGGGGCGCTGACGGAGGGAAGCCACTGGGGTGGAACCAATGCCGGAGGTGCCGGTGCCGGTGCCGGTGCTGGTGCCGGTGCCGTGGGAAGCCTCCGCGAACCATAGACCTGCCAGCACCCTGACCTGCTGTGGGCTCTGACGCATCGAGGTTTGAGGGGCCAGACAGCAATAAACCTACTTTTTTTTTTTTGCTATTGGTTTTAGTGGAAAATTTAGCCCCTAAGGGGCTTAAAAAGAAGGTAGTTTCCAAGTGCTTGGGGCATCTTCAGAGTTTTAGAGTTTTTAAGAGGATGCAATTATATATGTTATCGATGAGTTGCTTGAACTCTGCTCTAAGAAGCCAAACGCTTTACAAGTGTCAATTCGTCGTTTACTTATTTTAAAGCAAACATCTCCAGCGCACACAAAACCACACAGTCCTCCTGCCCCGCCGGACTTTCCCCATCGCTCCACCTGCCCCAAAATGTAGCCGCCTCCGACAGAGAACAGCTTGTGCTCCAGGAGTCAACCACACTCAGAAAAGGAAGACACAGCCAGTTATTTCGTGCTACCAGGGGAGAAAAATAAAGCAAAAACAAAGCTCAGCATCAAGCAGGGGTCAGAGACTAATTAAGTTTCCTTTCGAGAGAGATTGCTATGAAATGAAGCCTGTGTGAACAGCGGAGTGGCTGGTAAATCATCATCAAGCATAATTACCTCGGAAATAGAGCTGGGAGGTAGGTTTTTCCTCTCTCCCTCATTAGTTCAGCACAGCCAAAACAAGGGTGGGTTTTTTTTTTTCCTTT